GCCCGCCCCGGGCCAGACCCGCCCTCCCGCGGCGCTGGCTGCTGTCCGGCCCTCTGCTGATCCCCGGGGCGATGGCCCGCCCCTCCCCCGCCCCCACTGCGGTGAAATTTATATGCAGAACATTGTCACGAAACAGATGAAAATGGAGCCCTCCCGACTGGTACCACAAAAGAAAGAAAAGCACCAAGCCCCCAACCTCGCTCCCCCAGTCACTGCTGCGCCCCTGAGACCAGCAGCGTCATTAGCGCTACCTGGAAGCCGGCCTGGATCCAGAATCTTCAGTCCCATCCCAAACCTTTGGGATCTGAAAGGGAAATTTTAAATGGCCCCAGGTGTACACAGTAACATTGAGAGGCTGAAGGCTGAGCCTCGGCCTCCAGCGCGGCAGCATTTGGGATCTGAGGGCTCTTGAAGATTTGCTCATCCTCAGACCTTCCCTCAAAGTTCCTTATTTAATAAGGGGGAGCGAGGCCTAGGCAGTGGCTTTTTTTCTTTTCTTTTTTTTTTTTTTTAAGCTCTCAGATGACTCCAAATTGTAGTCAAGTCGAGAACATCTGCACTAAGTTGTAGACGTTTCTAATTATTATTTTTTTATCTGACATCTCTGGCTTAAAGGAGTCATTTTTAAACTGTCACATCAGCACCTTTAATGAGATGGGCCACGCTCCTGACACCTGCAGGTGGACGAATGAATCAGGCAGCAGCCTGATTGCTTTCCCTCAGAGAGCTCGGAGTTAAGGAAGCCAGAGTAATGCTCCTTGTTGAAACCTGACTGAATCCATCATGGGGTTCAGGGAGGCATGAAGGAGTCCATGGCCAGCTCCCCCTTGGGAAGGACGAAAGGCATGGTTTAATGCCACGTGGTTTAATAACTGGTCAAAATGCAAGTTCATCGTTAGTCAACACTCCTTTCACAAATGTTTTTCAAGCCCAGACCCCCCAAAACACAACAAGATAGAAGGAGAGGCACAGAGCAAGGCCCCTCTGGTGGCCTTCAGTGGGGGAGTGTGACTGGGCAGACCTTTGGGGTGGGAGTGCCTGCACCCACCCCCCTGGCTGCCTCTTCTAGGGGTCCTTGTGTGCTCCCCATCCTCCGTCACAGACATCACCCTTCATTTCTGAGGGTGTGTTTCCACACGTGGCGGGGGTGTCTATCTCCATGGGAGTTAGCACACCCTAGAGACATCCCCCCACACACAGCTGATAAACTGGTTCAGGGGAGAAGAGAGAGGGTTGAGGGAGGTGAGAATAGATCAGTGACTGAGGCTGAAACAAGAACTCCAGAGCACACATGGGGTCTTGCCTCAGTTTTTCCAGCAGGGAATACATCTTACCATCCACGCAGTGAAGGTTTCATCTGTGAGAAGTCAAAGTTTGTTCTCATCGTCGCTTTCCTCGGCCAACCCCAGTGCATCTAGTTGGTGTGTTGAGCATTGGCCCCAAATGACTTCCCCTGCAGTTGAACGTCCTAGACGATAGCTGGGTGCTCACAGCACTCACACAAGAGACAGCCCCACTGGCTAACTTAAATGGAAATTCAGACCTGATCAGATCTTGTGGTGCCCTGCCAAGAAAGTGAAAGTAGAATCAAGCTCAAAGACTGAAATCAGGACCCCCCCACCCCAGTAGGCCCCGTCCCTCTCCTCAGCTTCTCTATGCAGCCCCAGCCCAGGTGGGCTTTGAAGTTCCACCTGTAGACACATACAGCTACTGTCTTGTGGGTGCAGCATCTTTTGCACCCGCTGGGTATCGCAGGAAAAAAATGGCAAAGGTTATTTCAGTAGCTGTCCTGTGATCAGAGTAATCACATCCTGAGCTTGGCTTGTCCTGGCTCACGGTGTCCATCCTGGTTCTGGGGTGTGTGATGGGGTTCAGGTAAGAGGGAAAGATAGTCCCTGTGCCTCACATGCCCACTAAGGTAAAAACCACCAGTGATGGAGGCGCCCACGCTGATCTTAGAGCTGAGCCCTGCGTTGACCTGAGCCTTGATTCATCTGCCTGCTCCAAGCACCAACTCTAACATCCCTGTCAGTACATACTCTGTTACTAGCAAGTCCCTCCCAGGGAAAATGATTCTGCTTTGGGGGGGGGGGGGATTCTGAGAAGGTCCGGCCACTCACTGGAACAGTCTGTGCTCAGCCTCAGGTCTTCCTGTGGAGGTGCTTCCTGTCCCCACCCTTCCCTGCGGCTCCACCCTCCACCCCAGGCCCCTGCAGAGTGGGGCTGTGGACCTCCTTGGCAGAATTTCTTGGATTGTTAACTGTGCCCAGATTTGGAGTCCTGATCTCTCAGGGACTCTTTCCTCATGGTCAGACACAACCCAAGGAGTGTCGTTCCAGAGCAAAAGCAGGTCCTTCTGGCAGTGACATGGAAATTTCCGCACCTGTCATGTCCATGCAGTTGGAGTTCTGGGGTGTTGGAGACCAGCGGGGGTGCACTTGGATGGAGTTGAGGCGTTCCATCCCCAGTGCAGGATTACTGAGTACACTGAAGAGGAGCCATTTCTTCATTTCCTCATCTCAAAGGACGAACAGGAATGGCAGCCACTGACGGAAGATGTTAAGATTCCTTTCATCCAGTTCCATCTCTGCACACAGAGTGTCTGCAGTGCAGGTTTGATTCTTGTCCAGGGATCTTACCTTCTTTTGAGTAATTGGACCCAGAAAATGAATTTAAAACTTTGATTCCATAAAGAGACATTGATTTCCTTTAGTGCCTTTTTTCTTCCACAATACCTCTTAAAAGATGAACATCATCCTCACCAGAGTTTTTTCAATGTGGAAATAAGCCGACAGAGCTCCTCTTTGGTTATTCTTAACAAATAGGGTATCTGATCTTCAAGCATATGGTCTTTCTTCACACACACCGGAATGGGGAGGCCCCAGGAGGTTGGCAACCATCCCCTGAAAGGAGACAGAATCAGTTGCCATCACCTGGATGTGTCACTGTTGCTCAAGAAAACGGGAACGTGAGTCCATCGCAGCTGTCCACACCCTGCGCTTCCATGTGGAAGTGGCAGCTCTGGTCACTCTCATGCTTTCCCGGCTCCAGATTTGGTCTTGCTGGTACCACCTGCCATGTCTCCTTGCTTTTGGGGCATCAAGGACAGGTGGGGTATTCCTTGATGCAGAAAAACAAAAAACTAGCTGCTTATGTGATCTTCTCCTACTGTCCTCATTTACACAATGTCAGAGGAGCTCCAGAGAGAGCAGAGGATCAGAAATCTTGGGGGGACCTAAAGGGGCCAGCTCTCTGGCTCATGGTAGGGGCTCAGTCAGAGGAACCTCCCAGAGGACCTCAGGGAGTGCCTGAGGCCCACCAGGCTTGCTGATCTCCAAGGTCTGTCTCAGCCTGAGGGTCTTTCCTATTGGAAAGCATCTGTGTCCCACAGAGCCATGTGGTAACGGGGCTGTTCACTGGTACAGACTGGTGAGGTGCATTCACACGGGCTCTACCATGAGAGCTGTGCAAAATATTACCATGTATTTTTGACCCTTCAAGACCTTAGCATTTCATTGAAGGCAAAATAATTTGCTACTGGTCAAGATAACCACCTGTGAGTGGGAGGAAGGGACTGCCTGTCCTGTTCAGCCCCGTTTAGAGCTATCCGTTTATTTATATTCCTAGATTTTTCCAGTTTCTATGGAAATTAAGTTTTACGGACCCACAGTAGGAAAAAGAATGTTAACCCTCCAGGTGATTATAGTAGAGAAAAGTAGTTCATATTTCATAGTCTACTTGGCTATTTGACTAACCAATGTTGCGTTACATAAACATTGTGTTCATCAATACTGACCTTCGGCAGTAGAATCCCTCTTGTAGTTAGTGCATCAGAAGAGATCACACCAACAGTTGATTCTTCCAGTAAGTAACTCCCAGGGCCTGGCAAAGGGAAGGGAAGACAAAGTCCAGAAAGTTGAGACCAAAATGAAGAGTTTAGCTATCCAATTAATGTTTTGAGTGCCTTCTAGGAGAGTTGTGTGGCCTTGTGCAGTTAGCACGGATTAATTAAAAAAAAAAATTTTTTTTAACTGCATATTTACCCAGGAATCTTAAAGATTTTAAACCAGAATGGTGTCATGGGAGCTAGTTGATGGTGAACTTGCATTTGAAAAAAGAATATTCAGTTCAAAGAAACGTCTCATTACAGAGCTCATTGGTATTTTGAAATGTTCACAATTTTACTTTCAGAACAATGATTTCATATTTTGGGGTGGCCTTTAACAAAAACTGCCTTTCAGAACATTTTCTGTGTTGGCCATTGTAAGTCTTTGAGCTGATGGCCCTTCCTACTCTGTCCGGGGTCTCAACTTTACCCTCATCTCACTTTACCTGGTCTCACCGCCCCCTCCATGTTTCATCAGAGGCTGGTGCAGTCCTCAATTGCCAGAGGAAGCATCATACGTTGTTCCCATTTGCGCCCTCACAAACCCAGTGCCATCCTTCTGACCCAGAACTTCCAAATTTACTATGCTTATTGGATCAAGCTTAGGGATTTACCTATTGTGCTAAAAGTAGAAAAGGGGTATTCCATTTTTGATTTGCATTGGACTTCCTTTTAATTTCTTTATTTGCACAGAATTCCATTATAGAAGTTTTAGTTGTTTTTTTTTTTTTAACAATTATCAAGGGTTAGGAACATTTTTCATTGTGATCTAAATCAATCCATATTGGTGTTCATTTTAGCTGTTGAATGAAACTATCTGCCCAAAAAGTACGGTGCTAAGTTAAATATATTATTTTACTTCTAATATTGCAAGCAGTTATTTCTTTTTTTTTTTTTTTTTAAGCTGTTTGCTATTTTTTTTTTTTTTTAAGCTGTTTGCTATGTTCTAGCCAAGAGTTTCACATCTCATTAACTGGGTTGGTCAGTGACCATAGTAAAAGGACAAATAGACTAAGTGTAAATTACTTTGATACCTGAGGACACTCGATACCTTTTAAAAGGGTATTTTCTTAGTGTAAGCTGGTAAGTTATTTGAGATAAATTGATGTATAATTTCATATGTAGTGGAAAACATGGAATGGATGATAAGTTAGTCCTTAGAAACAGTCTGATGGAATAAAAGGGGGAAATTTTAGGACTTGCTATTCAAATTCAAAATGCATTAAGATGGGAACCTTATTCCACATCGTCTACCCTAGCAGAGTGAAGAGAAGAATTGAGACAATTATCCACATAATTCAGACAAAAAATTAAGATCCAAACCCAAACTATCTTGCCTAAATAACCTTGTGTTTGAATATTTTTTTGCCTGAATTTTTTGTCTCAGTTTGCCCCTTCATTTTGTTAGGCCAGATCTCCACTTAAAATCATTTTTATAAAAATGAAAGAGAATATCCTTTTTCTGACTTGGCTTTCATACTTAGTGTCATTTCTTTACAGTCAAAAGCTAACTTATCAGAAGTTCTTCCATCCCGTGGCCCTTAAAAGTGTTGCATTTTTTTTTTCTGAAGCAATATAAAAATGCTTATGGTGTGTATGCAAGCTGCTGTTTTAATTAACTTTCCTGAATTTCAAACATCTATATTTTACTCTCTTATATGCTTTTAACTAAGGTATAGTAGATGCGTTTTTGCTTCAATACTAATTTAAGGTGTAATATTCATTTCTTTAGAGAACATTTTTGTTGTTGTGCATGCCTAGTGTTTTGTACGTTGTATATTGCATTCAGAATATTTTTTTCCTTCTCACCTATCCACAATGCAATGCCGTTCCCATGATGCACCTCTGCTTGCTGTTTACCTGTATGTTAATTCGCTTGAATCCCATTGGCCCACTGCCATCATGTGCTCGCTGCCTGTTATTAAAAGACTCAGTCGACTGCCAAAGCAATGAAGCGACCTCTCGAAGCATCTGTAGACCTGGTACTTTGACCTTTCACCTTTCGCTTTGCATGTAGCTTTTCAGAGAGCCATCCGAGATTTGTATTACTTGTAAACTATTGGTTGCAAACAATCATTATGGTTAATGAATGAAGAGAATCTAAGGTGTTCAGCCATCTCATTTCCATGTGTACTATGTGAAATAAATGAATCCTAACAAATTTTAATACCTTTTCCAAAAGAGTGAAGCAAATTTAAATCACTTGGCTTGGAAAATGCTTACCGTAATTCCTATTAACCTTTAAATTTGAGAAACTGCGTTTAGTTCAAGAACAGATGAGGTATTAATAAGAATAACACAAATGCTTCTTCCCCTCCCTCCCCCTTAGACTAGTTTAACTCATTTTAAAAGCCGAAGTCATTTTGCTGTTGCTGCTGCTGCTTGGTAGTTTTCTTTTCCTTAGTTGAGATGCTACCGTTTGGGGTGACGGAAATCATGCTTTCGCTCTCAGTAACAAACCCTCACTCATCCGACATTGCCGCTGTTTAAATTAAGGTGCATGGCCGAGGCATCTCCTTAGCTGTCATTTTGAAAAAGAATGTTGCGGTTGATGATGTCTGTGGACAACGAAGGGGTGTTCGCTTTGAGTTCTACATACCCTGTTCAACTCTTCTTTCCTAGGCCTTTCCCCCGGGTGCTCTTCATCCTTTACCAAAGAGACAAGCGCTTGAAAAAACGAACGGTGCCAGCACGGTCTTCAACCCCAGCGTGCTGCACTACCAACAGGCTCTGACCAGTGCCCAGCTGCAGCAACACACGGCCGCGTTCATCCCCACAGGTACGCCCTCCGCCCTGTGTCCTGTGCCCTCGGTCATGTGCTTTCTTCTCATTCCTTTAAGCGGTTTGGTGGCAGCTAGTTTTGCTTGTGAAGGTACAGTAAGTCCAGCCTGACACTCAGCATAGGCCTAGCTGCTGATCGGGTGTCCTAGCTCGGAAAGACAGCGAGGATGCTAAATAAAGCCAAATATTTTGTAGTGTGAAGTGACAGGCTTCACCTTGAGAAGCAGGTAGCAGTTAGGACTGTTGGTGTCTTGTAGTTACACAAGCCAAGTAAAACTGTTTATGTAAGTAAGTCCTCTTGTGTGTGACAACTGAAATGTGTCCTTAACCCTGAATGGCCTAAAAATAGCTATTCCAGGAAATACTAATCTTTTTTTTTTCCCTATTCCTATTCAGAGCACTAAAAAAAGTGAGGCTGTTCAAATAGAACCAATCCTTCTGCTCATCTGTCTACCTTCATCCTATCTCTTTCTCCATCCTTCTCAATTTCCACCAAATTCACAAATCTATAGAGCTCTATCTTTGGTTTCTGTGTTCACGTCTGATAATATTAGGTGCTAAGGTGCATTAACTCTGTCATTCCACTGAGAGCTGAATGAAATTAATCAGAAACTCTTGGAGTTCAAAGGACTCTTAGTGATCTCCACATCCAGTTGATTGTTTTACAGATGAGAAAACTGAGGCCCCCAAGTGAGCAGTGACTTCCCAAGGCAGAGAACTAATGAGCAAAAGACCTAGAACCTACTTTTCCCTTGACCAGTCCTGTGTACATGAGGTGACATCCCCCTGGCCTGGCCTCCATCTGTGGGGTCTCCAAGTTCTTCGTCAGACAGAAGCACAGAGACAAAAATCCAGCACACCTCCCGTCCTCCATTTTCTAATTCATTTTCCTGACCACAGATTACATACACTAGATACAGGTGCAAAGCGTCCCCAGGAATAATCTCAAAATAAATAAAATGTGCTAAAGTGTCAAAGCGTCCCCAGGAGCCTGAGACATAGGACTGTGAGAAGACTGCCCTCGAGTTCTGAGTTTCGAAGTCAAAATGTTGAGCCCTGACAATAACCTGAACAGGACTCTAGATGAGAGGCAGTTTTATCAGGAAGAGATTGTTGACCCTCATCCAGGCACTTTGGTTTATTATCTGCACCTTAAATCCCAAAGCAACACATCGGAAGTGAACAGGGGAAGGAGCCGAGTGACTCTGTCCAGGGTGGTCTTTGTATACAGTCCGCAGTTTGCATAGCCTGCCGATACCGTTCATGTCAGTAAGGGTGTGGGGACCGTAAGTCCGACAAGGCTCAGTGTTTAGTACCCTTTTATAGCTCTGCTCTTGTCTTAAAGGAAATAGGCTCAGAAACCTGTGGGCTGAGTGTCTCAGACGGTGTTTATTGGGGCTTCGCTCTTGTCATGTTACAGCCCTGACCAGTGACAGCACAGCGGTGTCTTTCTTGTGACCCACCTGCTATAATATGCTTGGGAAATAATTACTAGAGGTAAACTGACCTCCAGGCCTTGTATGATTCCCACAAGTGTCTGATTTCATAGACCTTGTCACTAGATATTTAACAAGAAAAAAATGAAAACTTAGGAAAGAACATACCTAGTGCAAAAGCACAAGTCTGTTTGTGAATACTGGGTGGCATTGCCACAGTCATATCCTGGGAATGACCTGGGGACCCTGGAGCTAAGCCACACAGAAGACAGAAGGCCTCTAACTCATATTCTCCACTCATCCAACAGTGGCTGATGGGTTAGATCATTGATCGAACCCTAACTTTAAAACGTTTTCTCTGGAGACCTATAAAGACATGCAGAACCGAAGCGATACCATCCCTAACAATGCTGGTTATTGTTGATGAAATGAGATTGGCACCCACAGGCCTTGCTGGCTGCTGTGACTGTGCACTTCTGCCCTCTGCTGGAAGCTTTAAGAACTGGTCGAGTGTGTCCAGCACTGCGGGTGGCGTGGGTTTAGTCCAAACCCCTGGCCCTCTTAATTCTGGGCAGCAGGTGTGGCCTACATGTAACACGATGTGATCCTCATCGTGAACAAACATGTGACTCTTTTGCTCTGAAATGGTATTTCAGCTTCTAAGATTTCACATGTTTCCCTTAACCCATTTAAGAAAAAATAATTATGAAAAGGAAATTAGCATCATCTTCCCTCCACTTAAATTCATACAAAAAATGTTAATGCTTATCTTGGCGCTCAGTTTACTTTCAGATTTACGTTCTCACAAGCCACATTCTCAGCCTAATTTTTAAAATGATGAGGATCATAACCATTCAGTGCTAATCTTTGTTGTTTTTAACCTCTACCAGTGAAATCTGATGCTAAAAATAAATTTTGTGACTTGGTAGAGGGTGGGCCCATTATTTTTAAACTGACATTTTTACTTTTCTTTAAATACTTCATATTAATAATTGTGATAAATATGGAACAAAAAGCATTTTATGTTCCCCTGGAGTCACCCTTATTGAAAGGTCAGTTACAGTAGAGTTTTTGATACAATACGCTACTAAAATTCTCCCAACAGAGTGATGTGAATTTGGGTTTTAGGAATTCTGGCTCCAGGCTGTGAAGATATTAATATAAAATATTGTACAAAACATGGGTTCTTCTCCAAAACCATGCTAATATAATTATCTCCCTGGTTGATACCTTAACACATTTGCAGTGGGTGGGAATTTTCCCTTTTTGATAGGGATTATTTTAACCTAGTAGTTAAACTTTTTCTTTGCTATCTTAGGAAAGCGGTAAAAAACCACACACACTTACAAAAATAGCAACATAACAATTCTTGGCATTTCTCTGACAGGTTTATTCTGAGTTACTGTAAGTGTTCTTATAGGCATTATCTTATGATCCTTCAAGAGAGTTCTGCCAGTGGCAGGCATAACTACTTGAGTTTTTCAGATGAAAATACTGAGGTTGGGTCTGTGTTGCAAAGTGGAACATACTGTTCATGGGATTACCCACTTAATTTTGACTTAATTTGGTAAATACTTGTACAACGGAAGTGGAAACATTTATGAAGACTTTGTTCATAGAATGAGGGCACTGAGGGGGAGCACCAGAAGCCATCAGAACAAAGGTGACCCACAGACTCCGTCCTGGATTTATTTCATTAGACTGGAAATATGGAGGGCAGGGCAAGGTGCCCCCCTTCGCCCCTCCCCACCCCAGCTCCTAATGTTGCCGAAGTTGCCACATGCCTTGGTGAAAGGTTTGTCAGTATGTACATGTAAAATCACAGCAAAACTTACTCCATTCAATTCAACCCACAGTTCTTGAACACATCATAGTATGTCATGTTCCTGGGCCCTAACACAGAGGAGTAAAGGAAATAGCCAGTGCAGAATTGGGTGAAACTAAGACAATCAGCAAAGCCAGTTGGGTGTGAAGGAGGCGAAAGGGCTTCAACCCTCAGTGGGGGCAGTGGGTGGTGATGAGAAAGGAAATGGAGAAGGAAGACCTTCCAAAGAGGAGAATTTTGTTTAGGACTTACCTAGAGAAGATTTTCGCAATGGGGAGTCTCCCAGCAGAGGGATGGTATTGAATGGGAAGAGTGTATTTAAGGAATAGTAAGTTGTCCAGTGTTGCGGTATTTAAGTATTTAAATACCTAGGCAAGTATTTAATGGGTTTATAGGGAGAGTGGGGGTAGGAAAAGGAAATGGGGTGAAAAAGGTCTGGCCACAGACAAGACAGCCACATACATGGCAAAGCCATGTGGATCGTTAGACCAGGTAGAAGAGGCAGCTCTTCAGATTAATGTGGTTGACCATTTCCGCTGCATCTGAACAGAAGCTGCAGTGGTGTGGCCAGCCCTGGGCAGTGTGTCCCTGGCTGTCCTTGATTTGCAGGCCCAACAGCATTCAAATGCGTGACACAGAAAGCCCCTGCATCTTGGGGTACAAGGGAATCACAGGGAATATTTACAGGGGTAATTTGAAATCCAGTCCTGGTTGACTTTACAATGAATCCATTCACAAATCGGGTACTGCGTTTTAGGGACAAATTGCTCCCAACATTCCTTCACTGATGACTAAAAACACTCATTCAACCCATTAACTACCTGCTGTGGCCCCCATAGACCAGACAGACCTGAACTCTGCCTGCCCCACCACCACCAACCAGAGCATCCAGTGAACGAGGAGAAATGGATGCTTAATAAATGCTCATCTACTTGTACGAGTCAAAATGCTCTGAGAACTATGAGTTAAAAAGGAAAGGGTTCAGCGTGTGGAGGGAGGTAAAAACAGTTCAACCCTCCCCTGCAGAAGTAACATCTACCTTGAGACCTGGAAGAAGAGAAGGCTGGGTAAAGGTGTTCCAGGCGAGGGGACAGCTTGTGGGATTCCAAACATAGGACAGACAGATGACCGGGTCAGTTCAAGGAGATGAAAGGTTTCCCTGCCCGCTAGAGCACAGAGCCCTGGGGAGTGTGGTGTAGATGAGCCAGGTCAGGTCCCGAGGGCCTGACACAGAGATGCTGAGAAGTCACTGAATCATGCCCAGCAGGGAAGTGAACTCACCTGCAGTGGAAAAGCCAGCAGAGGGGAAGATGGGTAAGGGGGCAGAAGAGGGGACAACCATGGAAACAGAAAGCCCCGCAAAGGGTGAGCCGGACTTGAGAAGTGGCGGAGAGATGGACAGAGACAAATCCAGGATGCGTTTTAGAAGGATTGCTTGGCGTGTGGATGACTGACACCTAGAAATTTCAGGAGGGCAAGTGAGACCAGAAGTTAGACCAGAAGTTGTTCCCTGGATGGCGATGGCCCACTAGCATGTCCCAAGGGGCAGACACCGAGCCTGTGGGAAAGCAGCGCGTGGGCATGTTACTCCTGACATACCCGGGGGCCAGGCAGGTGGGAAAGCCAGGTGAGCGTTTGGATGAAAGCACCTGGAGGTCACAGGAGAGCAGGCTGTAGGCAGCACACTTCTGTTTAGAAGCCATGTTGCTTAGATATTTCAACTTTTTATGGAGCCGTATCCAGGGAACAGTCCAGAGTAGATGAGAAGAACCCAGAACCGACAAGCATGGGAAATGCCAGCATATAGGGGGGTGAGGGTGGAGTGTGTGTGAGGGCGCGTGCGTGCGTGTGGTCACATGCAGAACATCCAAAGAAACAGGGCCGGGCATGACAGAATGGAGGGAGAGGCCGCACGCTGTTCGAAGCCCGGGAGGCAGGAGGCGGAGAGGAGACCCCTCCCTCCGCTGCGACCCGGAGCTCACTGACCTCACGGGCAGTTTGCGTGGAGAGGGGGTGTGAAGCCAAAGCGCAGAGGGTTGTAGCTACATGGGACAAGACAGTGGAAATGTCTGTGTAGGTGACTTTTTAGAAATTTGTGGGTGTGTCGTAGAGAGATTGGGAGCTGTGAGGGGTGTGTGTGTGCACGCGTGTGTGACTTCCAGTGGGACGCATTAGCCACAGTTGCTGGAGACCCGGGAGGGACCCAGGTAAATAACTCTTCTCCCATGAGTGGCTGTCGATTGGCGCCTGCAGATGAAGGTGTAGCTCAGGCAGAAAGTCTCCCTGGGCGCGACCCGTTGGCAGAGGGAGTGAAGACCTGTATCGGATTCCTCATGTAGCATCTCAGAGGCTCTTCTGAAACCCTCAGCGGGCACCCCGCACGCATCACAGCCAGCTCTCTGCTTCATACCTGAACCCCTCGTTGCCTCAGTCCTCACAGTACCTCGATTTTCCTTCTGAGGAACCCAACTGGATGCAGATAATCCCCAGAGCTTTCAATTCAACCTTTTTTTTTTTTTCCAGTCCTTCACAACATGTGTTTTTATTCACAGTTGGGATTTTCTGATTTAGGTACATTTGAAGACCATCTGCCCCCTTGCTCCCTACCACACACACACACACACGGAAGGGAATTTTTTCCCAAGGCAAGACAGGAACCCTCCCTCCTACCCACTTACACACCAGCTTGAGATTTTCTAGCAGTTTCACCAGACATCCCTCAGGACTCCCATGACAACCCCCCCAGTGGGGTCCTAACTCCACCCCCACGCCTGCAGTTTTTGCCTCTAGAGTGTGTGGTTTCTGTTGCCAGGCACCACGCCTCTGTCATGACGATCTCGTGGCAGAAAGCAGATCACACACACACATCCAGGTCACCCGTCCCAGGCCTCTGCTGCCACAGGGTTGGGCTTTCAAAGAAATAATCTGAGGTGCACCTGGCCCCCAAGCCTTTGATCTGAAGGAGACAGACTCTCTGTTTCTGTTCTCACCTCTCTGTTGTCGATATGCAACCTCTGCCGTCAAACCATCCCTGAAGGCGATAGTGTCAGTGGCATCGAGTGAACCCCAAACCTGGCCTCGGTTTAGGAATAGAGTTCTATTTCTAGCCCTGCCCTTGACTCACACGACCTTGGAGGAGTTGCTATGCCTCAGATTTTTCATCTGTAAAATACCCACTTCCTGCCTTGGAGGATTAAGTTGATGATGTCTGTAAAATACCTGGAGGTCAGGGGAAAGACACAGCGGCATTATCACATCACATGTCCCCCTCATCAGAATCCTGGATGTGTAAGAGCAGAAGAGGGGCAGAAGCCGGCTCAGGAGTGCACTTTACATAACATTGGCATAAAAGAATGCAGACTGCTTTGTGTCAGTCCCACCAATGTGAATGACTCTGAAAGACTGTGTTGACTAACCCTCTTTATTTCTGGTTGTGCTTCAATCTCACTTTGAATGTTAACTCTAAACCGCTAACCTGTTTCTTTCCCTTTGTTCACTTTTTCCCACCCTCCATTGCATGACACGCAGGGTCAGTTTTGTGCATGACACCCGCTACCAGTATTGGTAGGTTTCAACCTTTTTTTATTTGTCTTTGATATGACTATGTACAATACCTTCACATGCTTGAAACTGATTTCAGAGATGGTAGAAATGCCTTAGGAAATGATAGATCTGAAGACTTATTTGGCTTTAGAGTTAACGTGTAGGGTTTTTTTAAATGTGCTTGTCTATTTAAGAAAATGAGCATTTGAATGTCCTAGAACCACCGCTACAAAACATAAAAGCAGCAGTATGAGTCTGATGTTTAATGATCTGTATTTTGTTTCTCTTTATAGTTGATACGGTTTAGCAGGAAGAAAAAAAAATAAAAACTCACTTTATTAGAGAGGCAGGCTAATTTCATCAATGTTTTAAAGTTTCATAGTGGTGTGCCTTTATCTCCTCTTTGCTGTGTGTTAGTTATCAGAGTTTCCCAGAAGTATTTATTTGAAAAAATTATAAATGGATGTATTTTTTAAAACAAATGTCTGAACTGCCTTGTTCTATTGTCCTTATTTTTTTTTCTTTAACTTTAAGTGTTGATTTTACTGGTGATAATGATTTATACCTGCCCCTTTCCCGTCCACTTGGATGTTAAATTTCCTCAACACATAGTCATCCTCACACATTCCAACACCTAGGCACAAATTCTGTCTTCAGGACATTGGCTGAGATTGACAGCCTTGATCATAAAGTCAAGTCAAAATTGGCAAAATGTGTCTGTCTGTCTCACGGTCACTACGGTCCAATGTACATCAAGGCTGGAATTTTTGCTCCACCATCTGCCGTCCCAAAGATACAGTACACCCCAGAAATTCCAGACCAAACAGGCAGCCCCAAATTGACCAAAAAAATAATTCCGTTTAACCCCAGTGAAGGAACACCCCACATCAGGCCTGCCCATGCACCACCAATGTTGCAAACGATGACTTAAGACCAGCACCTGCTCTCACTCCATTAGATGTTACGTCTTTGTTCTAGACGCTCCCCTGATGGCCTCCATCAGAGATTGAACTGGGAAAGACCTGTTGTTAGAAATACAGTGTTTATAAATACATCAACCAAAGTCATCTGCTTTGGCCTTTCTGGGAATCACTGATTATGTTTTAAAACTTCCTTTAATTGTACTTGTAATAAGCTATTTTCCCTTTTTTATTTCTCTCCCATGCTTCCTTGCTTTGCATTGTGATTGCATGCCATCTGCTGGTTTAACCCATGATGGCTTGCTGCTCTGATATTCACCATGCCAAACACCACTTCTATTACCATAACGCTCCACCCTCCTGTTCATTGCTCCCATGGTTCCCCTCCTGAAAGTACCCATGATGCACAGCGCTACGTCAGCCACTGTCTCTGCAGCAGCAGCTCCTGCAACAAGTGCCCCCTTCGCAGCAACAGCCACAGCCAATCAGGTTTGCTCCTTTTAAAGCTTTCTTTCACAAATCCCAAACTCTAAATGAGTGCTGATATTTAAAAAAAAAATTCTCGGTGAGAATTTTTTTTTCATGTTTATCCATCAAATTTTATTTTTTTAATTAGTTTAGAGCAAGCATTTATGGACAGGTTGCACTTATTTAGAGTTAACATTTACTGCCAATAATGATGTAGCTCTGTTTTGTGTTGCACTGTTTGTTTTCGTACCTAATATTGTGTAATTAACCCGACAGGCTTACGTTCCTTTTTGTACAGCGTCACGCATCCAGGGGTTTGTGACGGGCCACAGGCACCGTGTAAAAAAGCTGCCCCCCTGGGTGCTTCAGAACCGGCTTGTATTTGGGTTCAGCTCATTCAGGCCCTGTTCTCTGCCGTGGAGGGGGGAGTAAGACTGAGAAGGCACTCCCCTTTCCCCGTAGGGTTACCCTGGGGGTCTGAGTGACTCTTCCTGCCACTTCACCTGGGTCACGCGATTCCCACCGCACAATCATCCACATGCAGGTTTGGCCTAAGAGCCAAACCAGACGGGAGACTGGTACTGGTCAGCAGGCTCACAGCGGCTGGATATAACTGGGCAGGGACATTTAAATCTGTTGGTTTAATGTATGTGGCAGTAAGACCAGGAATGCACGTGTGGGAACTCACTGAGAAGCACCTCAGCGAGCCTTTGGCGACTTGCACTCCACAGTCACAGGTGCACTGTCATGGTGACCTGTCCCCTGACTTGGTCCCCAGGGATGAGAATGCAGAAGAGTAAGCATCAGTTCTCACCTGCCAGGCCAAACACCTTTGCAAGGTCTCCGTTGATAGATGAACCGTTTTGGTTTTGTTTTTAGCTTAGCTTTGTTTTAGCAACTCTACGATTCAGAGACAAGAAAGTGATCTAGAAATAGAGTGGAGGGGTATGAGCTATTGGGAAAAATCTAGTCCAGGCACAAAGTCCACTTGACAGGTGGGGAAGGCGTGTTTACACTTCTGTCCATGTTCCGCTGCGTGAGCCATGTCTGTGCTGTAGCCTCAGCACTGAAAGGCCAGACGGGGGTGGGGGTGGCACTTAGACAGGGGAACAGAAGATCCATGAGGGCTCCTGCTGTAGCCTCCAAACTGTGCTGAAGCAGGAAAGAATGGAAGGCAGAGAGGAGAGGCTGGGGGTGGGCGCTCACAGGCCAGCCCAGCTGTTGATATTCTCCAGCTCCTCACTGGCTGCTCAAAGTGCCAGCTTAGCCTCACAGGCAAACCAGCTCAGCTTCCACACATAAAGCAAAGACCAGCGTAGGATACGTTCCTGAGCTGGGAAGCTTAAAAACACAAAGATGGGGCAGGAAAGGGGTCCCCGTTTGAGTTCATTATTTAGTTCAAGAAGCCCGTTCCACTCACTCATTTTTCATAGGGAAGTGAGTATCTGTTCCTTCTGTATCGAAGACCTGCCTCCTTGAGCCATGTTTGTGTGATTTTTTGGCACACATTTGTTATAAAGTCCTTCCTAAGACAACAAACATAGTGGGATTGACACAATAGAACTTTCCCTGTGTTTTGGGCAAGTTACGCCCTTGAACACCTAGAGATCTTTCCCAGGAAAGGAAAGTAACCAAGATAAATACTGCAGAGTTTCAGGATAAGTTCCTTTATTTATGATAAATTCTTAACCGTAGCGTACGGTTTGTCCAGTCTAGTGATTTGCAAGCTCAGGTAGAAAAAAGCTTTGGAGATGGCGCGGGTGTGTGTATCTGTGTGTGTTTTAGGGAGGCCGGGCTAGGAAGCATGTGATAACCCAGAGCTAGGCTATGTCACTCTATAGCAGGGTGAAACTGGTAAATGAACTAGTAAGTTTAACATCACTCAAATCCAGAGACGTGTAATAAAAGGTGTACCTGACAGCAGCTTCCGGAGTCTTAGATTCTGAGCGTTGGAGTTTGTTGGATGTGACAGTTGCTGGATTGCATTTAATGGATGAGGAAGAAAACTTCTTTAGCAGCTTTTGGTGAAGGTCTATATGTTCATGAGACGCAAGGAAAAGAAATAGTAAGAAACAGTGTTTCCCAATATCGTATGCTATGTTTTGAACAAGTTTCAAAGAGCAGCACAGCTACAAAAGAACTTGAAAATTCTTGTGGGTCCAAGAATTCTGAATTCAGAGATTATTGGTACTGAGAAGTGGCAAATTATCTTAGTGAGATTTTGCTTCATCAGCTCAGATTGGGTCACACCCTTGTGAATTGTGAAAGTCATTTGAATGTCTTAGATCTCAGTTTTCTCATTTATGAAAGGAAGAGTAGAAGTAGATGTCCTCGGAAGTCTCTCTCTTCCAGTTCCAGAATCAGCCAAACCCCCAATCTCGTAATGATGTTATGAGATGCTTGGCTTGTGCTCCAAAGTGGTACAGGCAGATGCTTGAGCCCCTGGGGTTCATGACCCAGAGTTCAGTGAGTGACAGCCCTGTCTTCTTTTCCTTCATTGACAATGTTTCTTAAACACGAGATGTAGTAGCCTTTGACAGTTGTGCAGTTCATTTCATCAGTTCAGTACAAACAGTTCAAATCTCATATCTGTAATTAGCCACAAGTGACTTATAGAAGAGAATCCACCTGGCATCCATGACATCGCCTCTGTATGTTACCCCAGGGGGAGACAAATTAAACAACAGTGAGTTACAGATTCTATGCTCAGCTTCATCGAGGTTGCCAGTCATGAAAATTTTAACAGAAATTAGACATACTCTTTGAAATTAAGTGAAAACAAAAATTCAGAAAGATTTGGGGACTACAAAATAAATGGTTGTTTAGCTCCGGGAATAACCACTTTCTAGGAGCTATTTCCTATTTCATATAAGGTCTTGGGCCTTATTAAATCTAATAATGTTGCTATTATTTATAAACCACTTATGATGTATGAAATACTTTTCTAAATGCTGTTTTCTCATGTACTTTAGTACATATTACAGTATAGCATACACTTTATATGAGAGAGAGGATACATATGTATAGAAATATTTAATCCTGAGAAGTCTTAAGTGATAAATACAATTGTCATCATCGCCATTTTACAGGTGGAAAAACTGAAACAAGGTTAAATTCCTTAGCCAAAGCCACACTGCTAATGAACAGTCTTGCTAGAATTTAAACCCAGACTGTCTGACGCCAGCGGCCTTCCTCCTGACCACCGTGGGACTCTCCCCCTCTCTATAACTGCAAATACACAAACGTCACATCCTCCACAAATGAAACTCTTGTGTGCCGACCAGTCCCCAGTGCTGTGGCTGTGGGAGAAATGAAAGGATCTTTGCTAATCCAGCTCAAGCTACAGTGACCCCTCACTGGGGCCATGGACTGAGCTCGTGCCTAGCTTCAAGCTAGACATGTAATAGCCAGGTCATGTTTAGAAACCAGAAAGTTGAACACAGAATCATATATAACATTCTGTCCTATTACGAACAGTGAGTACACTGAGAACTTTGAATAGTTCCTTTGTACAGGGACGATACATAAGAATGTGGTCAGTCCAATGGGACCCGCCGACTCACAGGCTCTGTGTGAGTCACTGTGCTGGACTTTACTACCAGCCTCTGCCAGTCACTCAGAAATAGCTTGGTACCAAGGGAAATCAGAAATGAAAATGACGCTACTACATGAGAGAACACATTTAGATGCGTATTTCATACACAATGTTACACATCATTCAATTTCAGAATGCATAAATCTATATCTGCCTGTTTTGAAACAAATGTGATCTCAGAATGTCCTTTGCAAAAAGTAGAGGTGAACAGCCTCGCAGGGAGGTCACCCCATTCTTTCCATGAGTGAGACTTTACTCCATAAAATGAGCGTGCATGTTGCAAACTCCGTCCTTTGCATTTTCGCAATCCTCCATCTGCATTTTTTACTTCAGTATGGGAGGAAACCTTGCAGATAAATATATTGTAAGTCTTAGTTGGTACAGATGACTCATTCTACCCCAAAGCACCCTTCGAGGCCCAGTTGAGGTGCAGTTCACACTTGAGCCCGCACAGCTAGGAGAGTTTATTCTGTCCTCTAACTCTAAAGGGCTTTACCTGCAACTCTGAGAGCGCCACCGTCAGTCACACAGGGTGGCAGGTGCGGTACCCGCAGCCGGGAATTCCAGTGTGAGCAGCGGGTGGTCAGAGCGTCAAGCGCTGATGCCCCAGTGATTCCGTCACGCAGGACCTGAAATGCCCAGGTCAAGGGCGCCATCTTATTTGGCAGCTGCAGGGTTTGCAAGCAGGAGAGGAGGGAACAGAGCTCTAGGAAGAGGGGCAGAAGATGCCCCAGGAGCGGGAGTCGGTGGCCCCGGGGGTTCTCGCTGAGCCAGCTCTGGGGCAGTGCTTTGCTGTTACTCCAGGGAGAGTTGCTTCTGGCCAAAGAGAAGCATAACAATGATTTCATACAGGGCAGTGCCTGTCTGAAAGAAGATACACGAGCTGAGTAGAAAAGTGGACCATGGGAAATGGCTCAAGGGTAGCCGTGGGGGACACGCCCTGGCCAAGTGTTCACCCTTCCGGGTGGTTTCCTACTTCCCGTCAAGATGACTCTGCAGAGCCAGGTGGCTCTCTGGGGCTGCACCCAAAAGACTGAGCCCCTGCGGACTCGGCAGGACACACGCGATCCGTGTCCCTACGGTTCTTACAGCCAGAGCCAGTGGACAGGGAGGCCAGCCCCTGCACTGCTGCGCTGGGTCACGAGTCCACAGAGGGGAGCATGCATCTGACAGATGCGACCTACACCCCTGAGTCATAGAAGGGCTGGCCTTGTCCCCTCACTAAAAAAGGTGCAATTATTTTAAAACAAAACAAAAATGCATCCATGCGGGATTGATGGGAGGAGACATGATGGAGCACTTGGATGCCTGCATAGCTGGTGCATCCCATTCTCTGTCTGGCAGCGTTAAGCAATACTTAATCACGTTTCCAAAAAGCAGCGCTGCATTCGGAAATTATAACCTCAAGTTCTTGCCACATCTTCTG